GTTTTTCACACTTCCAACTCGCACGAACTGGGACCTATCAATAAGGAAATCAAATATCCTATGCTTGTCCCAAGGTCGAAAAAGGGGATCCCATGACACTGCAACCATCATAAATATGAGTCAGCTGTCAAGTTCCTGAATTTTGATCACGTGACCATGGGGATCCTGCAATGGTTGTAAGTGTGAAAAACAGTCATAAGTCACTTTTGTAACTTTGAACGGTCACTAAACGAACTGTTGTAAGTCAAGGACTACCTGTAATGACTTCATTTGCTCTTTCTCTATAATTCTTTCTAATTTTTAACAAAATCATAAGGGGCTGGATCACCGAGTCATCTACTATCACAACTAACTTGGTAATTACTGCAACAGGCAGAGCTCTGCATTATAAATAGAAGAAATGTCAAAGCAACATGTATCTCTAGCAGAATCCTGCAGATGTGCATTCATCACCACTTAAATGCAGATGTTTTGATACAGGACCTCCGGTTAGAGAGGGAGGGACAGATATTAGGATGGCTGGGTGAGTACTGACACACACCTCTTATATTTGGCAGCAATTCTTGCGGCAAGGGGACTGCCTACACTATCTTTTCTCTCCTGGGGGTCTTGCTCCTCGCTGGCCAGGCTGTGACCGTCTACTTTGTGTATCAGCATGACAACCAGATCACCAAGCTGAACAAGAACACCCAGCAACTGAAACTGGACTCCCTCACCGGCAGCATCTCTAAAAGTTAGTCAGCTACCCCCCAACCCACCCCTTCCTTTCACTTTCAGCTGCAGAGCGCAAAGATGATGGATGGGCCTTAGACAAGCTTTACTTGTGACATCTTGCTTGCAGTTGCACAAGCTCCTTGTGATCTCTTTATTTAATCCTGCTTGGAAAAAAGCCATCTGGTAGGAAAAGGGATTTTTGAAAGTAATTTGTGTATGAAGGACAGGGTTTCTGACTCAAAGAAAGCTAGTCAAAATTTCTGTTGGGCACACTCACATATGCACAAAGGTAAACATGCCTTTGTCATGCTTCAGAGATTTGTCTTGATTACAACCAGGGACTCAAAATTCTTATGTCCCTGGTTTGACACACGTATAAGAGTAGAAGGCATTTGTGAACGCTCTTATGTTTACCCCTTTCGATATGCATATTAAAACTCTCTTTCTTCCCACAGATGTCCAAAGATCAGGCCCAAAGATGGCAATAGCCAATGTGATGCCTTTGGCCCTGAATGAACCTGAGGTAAAGAGAACAGACACTGATCCTTTCCGTTCCATGACTTATTGTTGTCTATCTGTGTTGGATTCAGTGGTGGGATTCAGCCAATTCACACCTATTCGGGAGAAGCGGTTGTTAACTTTCTAAGCAGAAGAAGACATCTCATTTTGGTTTTTTCCACTTTACAGGGCTACTCCTGTAAGGCAGGAAAGAAACATTCTGGTATTGTTTCTAGCCTAATCTTTATTGCCCTGTTTACAGAAACTGCCTCTCCAGTTACATTGCAATAAGTAAGGCGAAGCGCCCATCGACCTGAGGGAGGTTGAATTGGCGACGCCCACACAGTCACATGACCACTGAGCCACCCACCCCCCTCACAGTTGGTCATTGGGGCAGAGAACTGGTTGTTAAATTATTTGAATCCCATCACTGGTTGAATTCCCAATAGTTCCTCTTGAACTATTTCAATGGGCAGTTCTGCAACTTGTGAAAAACTGCCTAGTTTTAAAAGTTCACCTTTCACAGCACTTCAGCCAAGGGTTATGTAGTACTCTCAAGGCAACACGTTTGTTTTTGCACAAACTTTCATGGATCATGGTTACACACAATTTAGAATTGTTAGAACTTTGCCCCCAAAGTATATTTAGAATTGATACACACAAAGTGAGGCAACCACTATGTTTAAATTATCTTAGTCCCTCCCTTCTTCTCTTAGGATCACAAGAATAGACCCGCCCCCACCCCCACCGCTACTGTAATTCCAGGGTCAAGGGAACTCCTTCTAATTTTCTCCTTTCCTGGTATAAATCCC